ATGACGTTACAGTACAATACATTATTACAAATTTAATACAAAATATTCACAACAGAGAGTTTTTACAATTTCCTCGACAATTCTATGACATGGAGTGCGAGTATGTATGTGCGTATTTGTATTTCTTTTAGATTTATATCATCAATTTATATCTATTATATTTAATGTACGTATGTCCATGAGTATCTACCTGGACCAGTTAGCAAGCTTCAAAAACAGGCAAGATAACGAAATCGGTCGTCGCAAGAGAACGCCTGGAAGAGCTCCTTCAAGGACCAGTGTCCTTGAAGGAGTTCTTGAAGGGTAACCTCCCTATGTCATTTAAGCGCCAACCCATCCATATGTGTCTTGTCTAAACTCAAGATCTGCCAGAGGGCGAAGGAATGCAGCATTCTGGGCTTTAAACGTATGCCGAGTACGCAGTACAATGCTGCGTTCGATGACTGGCATTGCTGATGTGAGGAACAAAACAGCGAGGCTCATATGGGATTGGGCGGGCCAAGTTAGCCGGATGCAACCTGGGAAGTGAGTGAACGTCGTCACTCCTTGGGTGCCCGAGGAAAAAATATCAATTTATATCAAAGATATGGCAAAATTATGCAAGTCGAGAGACACTAAACCAACCTAGATTAAATAGCAATTGAGAAATTATAACCTAACTATATCGAAACTTATAACATGGCAATTGATTTTTTATTGTAATAAAAAAATCTCACTTGACTATGCTCAAACTCAATTGGCTATGACTATATTATAACTAACTGCAGAAAGTATGGAACGACCGTAACATCGCACGTAAAACTAAGATGAGATTGGTGGGCTCTTTGGTGTTTTCCATTTTTAACTATGAAGTGGAAACGTGGACACTAAAAAAGGCGGAACGAGACCCCATTGACGTCTTCGAGATAATAATAATAGTAATAATAACGCATACACTCATAGCCCCGCACTAGGGAAACCCTGTATCGCGGGTGCCATGGACACACACATAGGTAGACAACCACAAATTACATCCAAACTCACAAGAGAAATAAATGTAGGCCATACAAATATTTCTTCCGGGCCGGGATCCAGGATGGTAATGTTTGGTCACGACAGTTAAGATGTGGTGCTGGAGGAAAATGTTGGGAGTCCGTTGGACTGATTTTGCATCAACGACTCCATTCTTAATAAATAGTAAACCTTTATTCATAGCTATTAATTTAGTAGGGAACAAACTTACATAATAGTGCTTATTTTAACAGTGAGTGATTGTTGCCCAGTCGAACGACATCCAGACCCCCCAAAAGGATTCAACCTGTGCTAGCGGATTGTACTGTTGTCGCCACGACGGACCGGCATCAATCGTATTTGAAACAATATGGCTTACGAGTATACAGAAAGGTATTCTCACGTCCCAAAACCAGTACAGTACAACTGTTCATTTGGGACCCAGAAAAGAAAGTGTAGAGTATGAAAAACAATTAGTTTGTTTAAAAGATACTTAATATTAATTAAATTTTTATTGAATTTTAAATGAAAAATTGAATTTATTGAATTTTATTAATACAGTGAATAGCGACATCTCTCGCCAGGACTGGTAGCTGTAAAGGTACTAACTGGGTGATAAATCTGTAATAGATTTCTCATAGATGGCGCTACGACTAAAAAGTCGTTGAAAGACCAAGTACAAAGACACGACGAAAGCACATAGAAAAATTCGTGAGGTCCGTTGGTTCGTTCCGTGGCTTAGTTGGTATAGCGTCTGCCACGGTATGCAAGAAGACGTCGGTTCGAATCCGACCGGATCGAAGGAATTTTTTCTGAGTGTTTTTTCTGAGTATTCGATCTTTGTATTAATAATTACTTAATATTATTTTAGTATGTAAATTTAGGAGTGTGATAATGAAATTGGAGAGTGGGTGTTGTGTATTTGAGACTGGTTGGAATTTCTGCGGGTACGTAACGTCCGGACCAGACTGTCCACCTTATGTCTACGTAGGATACTTGATTTCTTTGCTCACATTGCTGGGAAAGAAGGGCACAACCTCGAACAACTAATGGTTACTGGACGGATAGACGGTAAACGTCCGAGAGGTCGCTGTTCCACAAGATAGTCCGATCAAGTTTGTACGGCCTTCGGCATGGGTTTTCATGTGGAGCTAGCTTCCGCGGGGAGTCACGACCCTCAGTAATGAGGTAACCGACGCTAGAAGGAGAGGAGGATATATAACTAAACAAACCAGAGAAGGACACATTAATGCAATGGCGTACGAGAATAGAAAAAAAATCCATTTTGATTTCAAATGAATTTACCTCGAAACATTCCTATTTCAAATATTGTTTTCATAAACAGTCATCATGTTGACTCGACAAGAAATAAATTGTAGCTAGCAAGCTACGAAGAAACAACCACTCATTTGATTAAGAAAGAAACAAAAATATTTGTAACAATTTTGATGTATCTGGTTTTTTTTTCAGAGCATGGAGATTTGTACAAATGACGTCCTTTTTTTCTTGAGACAGCTGTGAGTTCAAATTGTAGTCTCAGAAAAAAGGTGCCTCGAATTAAACAACTTCAATCTCTCAACAACAACTCTACAAAAAACATTTAAGGTAGCATTTTCTTTTTCAGTTCTAGTTTCCTATCTACGTCACGAATTTTATTTTTCTCTCGATATATAACCTGTAATTAATCATAATAATACAGTGAATAATCACGATGTTGTTTCAATTAGTGTTTTCTTAATAAAAAATTATTAATTGACGCCCCGTGTTGAACATATCACGCCCTCAATAATAAAGTGGTTTAATTCAAAAAGCAACTTTTTTGAGAACTTGTAAAAAATTAATATAAAAAACTCGGAATAAAAGTCCCAGAAGTTCCGGAATAAAATACATTTTTTATGGAATAGAATTATGTCATATTTGACATCAATGAAATTACACTGGCGCACATATCATTGCGTTATTTTTTCTGAATTAATTGGTAAAATTTATGATGGCAGTTAAAATATAGAGGTACAATAAAAGCTTAAACTAGGATTAAATTGTATGAATAAAATTGGGTCCTCGGGAGGGTGTCTGTTATTTCGTAGGTGCTGGTTATTTCTTTATTATAAACTGATCTATAATAATCAGTCCGTTTTCCAAAAATCACATTTCGAGTATCACTTTCAACTTAAATGGACTATTAATTTTTGCAGTCTGTAGAAATATCTCCGTTCGTTGTATTTTGTATTAGTTTTTAGTCTTTTTTTATTGTAGTGACAAGCGTATATTTTTTAAAATGAAACAATTGTATTATACTCTAGACAATATTTAATATTTTTAGACAGGACCTACCAGAACCTTAATTTAATTTTTTTTCTAACCAACCATTAGGCCGGTGAAAATCATCCGAATTGAGGCTGGCAGCTGCGGGGTTCGGGGAGGGGATATCCCCACGCTATTTTCGGCGCTTGAGTTATAGTCCGACCAAACATTGAAGACCTTTTACCGAATTTCACGTTCCGTTTTACGACGCCTCCTAACCGTGTTGGTAGGGTAAATTATTCAGCAGCAAAGTTTTTTTCCCGGCTGTAACGCCTGATGTGGGTTTAAGCTGTGCTTATTAACAATTTAGAAAAGTACGAAACATTTTATTACAGAATGCGTAGAGCTAATTAAATTGTGAATCGTTCTGAATACACGCTTCTGTTACTACGAAATTTATTTGATTTTTTTTTCTACAATCAGCTTTCGGCAGTTTTTCCCGTTTAAATAAAGATATCACTGTAATATATGTGTATAAACGCACGTATCTGGCTTTCAAATTAAAAACGTAAATTTCCGAGAAGTGGCCGTTGAACTTACTGAAAAATAAATTTAATTCGAAAAAGTTGTTGTGATATGTATATTACATATATATTAAGAAAGTCGTGGAATTTTCCTAAATATCTCCAGTAATTAATTAATTTAATAACTCTATTACGCTACAACGACATCATAAGGTACAAAGACAAAAGTAAAGGTAACACAATTTCTCGCATAGCTATACGCGAGAGAAATTCCAAATAATCAACCTCAACACAAAGCGAATTTACTCTGTAGCTAAATATTCCGGGGCGAGGGGGAGGCGGGGCGGGAACTCCCCCTTGCCGAGAGGGGCTCGAAAGGGATTTTAGGTTAGTGGACATGTAGGCATATAGACGAGAACACGGCAATTTTGTTGCCACACTTAGTTCGTGTCGTCTTGTGCTTTTTCGTTCGTTCGTCACGTCATCGTTCGTCGTTGTATCGTCCCTCTGTGTCTATATATAAGTAAATAATAGTTTAAGTGTCACTTTTTGTGTAGATTTTAAATTAAGCTGTATAGAAATGAAACAACTTCTCAAGTGTTGACAAATATAATAGAGTGGATCGTACTAAGTGTGTGGAAATATAAATATTGTAAAAATTAAAGAATAAAAAAAAATAAGTGGCGTGTGTGTAGTACCGCAATTGTGTTTGTAAACAGAGCCGCGTGCGTGCGAAAGTAAACATTGAAAAAAAATCTTTGTGTGAATAAAAACTAACGCAGTTTCATTAAACGCACTTCTGAATTAATGTAGTAGGCTAATAAGTACCCAGAAATTGTCGCTCAAAAAGTTAGTTAAGCAAAAAAAATATCGTGCCAAAAATTGTTTAAAAAAAATTACTTTAGTGTTAAAATCCTTATTTTAGAATACTAAAATTTTCTTGATATTAGAATATTAGTTCGTTTTAGCGGGAAAACAGCGATCAGCGGCAAAAAACAACAGTGGTGTAACAGTGGAATTGCGCGAAGTGTACACACGTATTTTCAGAGTAGTAAAACTGTTATTCAACGGAGCACGTGTAGAAGTAAAAACAGTAGGTTGATCCGGCGTCAGTGAGAAAAACACGAGGGTTGAACTGCCTACTACAGCTAGTATAGCGATCGATAATATTACGCATTACAGAGCCACTGTCGAGAGGAGACGAAACGCACACAGACAAACCCCTCACGCACACAAACGCCCTCCCTCAAGTCCGCCCGTCGCCCTCTGCGAAAACGAAAGTGAGCTTTAAAACTTACAAACCGAATTTATAGGAATAGGTAAGACGTAAAGTACAAATACAACTGTGATTTTATTTTTGTGTTCAAACATCACGAAAGTCTGTTTTGCTGTGATAGACAATGCTCGTTGGAAATCTCAACATGAATCCTAATTTAATTTTTGGTTACAACGTATCGAACATTCCGAATTTTGCTAACATTCACAGTTTACCAAACGTATCTATGTCAATGACTGTCCCGTCGAGTACAGTGAGCGTGCCAGTGAGCCTTCAACCCACATCCAGCAATGCTTCTATGAGTGGAACCGCTCCACCGACGCCTGTACACGGGTCGGAAAAGCGTTCGTCGCCTCTTACTCACGCAGAGCGGACGGGGGCACCTCCTGGCGCCGGAAAGGATGCGGTCAAACTTTTTATTGGCCAAATACCTCGCCATCTGGAGGAAGAGGACCTTCGTCCAATGTTCGAGGAGTTCGGCAAGATATACGAGCTCACCGTGCTAAAGGACAAACACACCGGCATGCATAAAGGTTGGTTGATTTATGTGGACTGTTTTACAAGTTTTTTACGAAGTTGTTTAAGGCGTAATGAAGATTTATGGAAGTGGATTTGGGAGTTTATTTCGCGAGGGGTGGAGCGGCAGTTTCACGAGAACTTTTCGGAATTGGTAGCGGAACGGGAGAGCGTGACGCAATTTTCTGTTATTTTTTTTCTAAAAGAAACAGGGTACGCAAAGATGTTTGGGAAATTTTCAAGCTCTATTACTACGTAAATAAAAGAAAATTTGTCTGAAATACCTTTCATGACATTCTGACTATGTTACTTGTTAGTTACTAAGTAACAAAATATTTTTGATTGATTTGACTTTGTGAAAACTAAACTACATCTGGACTTGGTTACATTATATGCGATTGAAAAATTTTAAACAATCTACACGTCATAGATTTTGACATAGACAATAAAGAACATCTTTATATATAAATTACCAGAAAGTTCAATTACCAAATATGTAGTTTTACCAGGAATCGTTCCTAGGACTCCACTTCCAGTGCCCATATTGTAAATAGTTTGACTACCGAGGACATCATGTTGTTAGTTGTACTCTTACTGAGCAAAATAGGATAAAAAACTCTTATATTTCTGTTCGATGGAACCCTATATCGATTGGCTTTCTAGAATTGCGACCTAATTCAAAAACACGTAACGCATTAAGAAGATGGTTTTAAAAACAAACAGGTGTATTTAGCGCGCAAGGCCGATTCGTATACCGGTTCAATGTGTCAGTTATTTAAACCAAAAAATAAAAGCTGTAAACCACATCTTCCTAAATTTTTTATTTTTAGACGTTGCACAAACGTGTGTCTTGTTTTTGACACAAGCAACCGGCAACTAGAAAATAATATATTCTATTTTCATACAATTGAGAATATGAAATCGACACAGTCGCCTGTTGCGGCTACCGCAATCTGTATGAAAATAAAATTTTCGCTTATATTTATTTGCCGGTTGCTTGTATCACATTGCTCGAAAGCATGGCTCCTGGTGTAAAGTGGTCCTCGAATGGCGACCTTGGGGTGAAAAACACCCCAGAGGCAGACCGCAGATGCGTTGGAAGGATGACATAAAGATGAGGGGTTGAATTGGATACAGGTGGCACAGAACCCAGAGAAGTGGTAGTAACTGAAGGACGCCTGCACCGATATGGTTGAGAACGACTAGAAAAATGAAGAGAAGAGCTTGTCTTATCTTGCTATAAATCTACATTCTTGATAATAACAGTACAGTAGTGTAGTATCTCTCAGAAAATACAGACACCTTTTCCCGAACGAACCACTAAATTTACGACGTAGACAAAAACACAGTTCGTTCTTTAAAATTAATAATGCTTAGCTTTGGTCCTTACGTTATGTGCATAAAAATCAATAACAATGTCTCCAAGAGCGTTGAAAAAGAGATTAACAATAAAACATTTAAAATAGAACTTACAAACAAAATACTTGGTTCAAACATGTTTTATACATTGCAGGAATTTTTCAAGAGTAGAGACTATAAATCAAATTAATAAAGTAGCTAATGATATAATATTTAAAAACTGTTCTAATAGTTGTTGGAATAATGAATATTATTTTAATTTTGATACTCTTAACCAGAGATGGGTAGTGGGATACCACCCAATCAACCCACCCGAGTTTTAACCGGGCTTTTATCCATCTCTGCCAAAAACGTGAGCGTGAACAAATTTTAACGTAAAAAATGGTTTTTAGACGAAAAAGAGGCAACTCCACACAATACCTACTTTTTTTTTTTTAGCAATCCTGTGGATTCTCATTACTAAGGATGAACATTACGATTTAATTTTTATGAAGAGCGATATAAGATTATACGATTTATTCTATACTATTTTTTTGTATCGATTTATTTCTACGCGATTTCCTAGTGAATCGATTCAATGGAAAGGTATATCGAATCGTTTAGATCAGACAGGCAACGAACATATTGTAATAATATTATTAGAATTTGAACAAATCTCAATTTACAGCGAATATTTTATTTATAAATAGTTTTTGCCTCCGATTTCGGGCGATAAATAGCAAAAGGCACTGTCGATTACCCTGAACTCTTTGAGCAAATAGGACTACGCACAAGCAAGGTTGCACTGAGAAATCCTATCACACTTTACGTTCCTAGGGTTAGGACAAATTATAGACAAAATTAATTTTTAAATAGAGCGTCTCGCTTATTTAACTCCTTGGTTAATAGATATGGTGAGGTGGACTTATTCACCACCAGTACAAGTATATATACTTTATTCTATTCTTGTTACCTAGCGGTAAGTATTCCAAAAATAAAATAAATATATAAAGTTGATATTGCATTTAATATACTTTTTAAAGATTTTAGTTTAATAAGAATCAAATTTATTTTAAGTTAAAGATAAATTGCGGTGACCTCCAGGTTAACATTTCTGTATTTTATATTATTTTAAGAACTCTTACATTACCCACGTGATTCAATGAAAAAATGAATATGAATATGAACCAATTCAAAGTTCTGTGTCTTAATCACAATAAATTATAAAAAATCCACCTTAAAAATTTGTGGAATAACATCTATTTGCCAAGTTTTATTAAAATCTGTTGACAGGCTGGATTCATCCCCTAGTTTGCTACCCTGAGAGATTAAATATTTTCTTCAAGTTCAAAAGCAACCACTAATGAGATACTCCCTTTCCTAAAGAATCAGCGGAATCGGTTCACATATGTCGGAATAATCGTGTAATAGACACACATAAAAAAACACAATCGAATTGAGTACTACCTCTTTTTTTGAAGTCGTTTAAAAAGTAATAATTTTGGTTTAGGACACTATTTCTGAAAAGCAGGAACATGTATGTATTTAATACTTAAATAACAACAAAGGAACGCCTAAAGACAGCTACGCGCCTATGGTAATTTTTTCCATGTTTTCATTAACAACGGAACTCTTTCCCCTTCATAACGGTAAAGTCGAACAATAGCTAACACTTAAATACCCATTATATCACGAATTCCAATACCTACGGTCACTCATTCTAATAAAGCTACAATCGTAACTTAATTGCCGTTATTATCAAGCACAATTGTACAAAAAGAACATAAGTAAATAAACAAATTTTTATAACGGCAGTGGAATGACCTAATTACAATTTGCACCCTTTGTGTAACAACGCCACATCTGCTAAAGATAACTTTACGGAAGAGGGTCTTAAAGATTCTACAGAAAAAGGGGAAGTTTCTAAAATTCGACTGTTTTTTTTTCTGAACAAAACTTGTTGTCTAAGATGTTAGCAATATAGTCCTGGATGTTAGTGTTTTAAAAATAACCCTGTATTTGGAACACATGGCTACCAACCTGTCTTTGCCTCATCAGCTCCTGTACGGGCATTCCGGGAGCGCCCTGAGACTGCTTGCGGCCGCAGCCTGAAAACAATTAAGTAACAAATTAATAAAATTATAAAAACTTATACTGGGTGCAAAAAAAATTTCGACCATTCTCCAATCTTATCAAAAACCGTAATGAATATATTTAAATGGCATTAAATTTGTTCAATATCGAGTCAATTTTCAAGAGTTCAATGTCCAGTTTCGAGTAATCTCGATTTTTGAAGCGATTTTGATGTATATTCTTTTGTTGGAAAGAGAGTACCTCAGTACTGGTCCTATTTAAATTTGTAGAAAATATTTTACCTCTAAGGGTGGCTGTTCACGTATAAGGACTTATTTTTTATAAATAGCGCCTAAATTTTATAAAGAGCAATTATTTTAATGGTTGATGTTGCTATGCTCCAGTTGAAGGTTTTTCCGTCAATATATTTTCGTGTGATAAGAGCACTTTTAACGCATGCTCACATGAGGTTTTATTATATAAAGGTCGATTTAGATTTACATATTCTATGATGCAACTTAAGTCAAAATTATGTATTCATCCATTAGTATATATATTGTCTTTTGCCCAAAGACAAAACAGCCCAGTGAGCTCCAGATTGTACAACTTGATTAACAATAAGTTGTCTGTTTGTAGTTTAAATTGGTATGTACCTACAAGATAAAGTTAAGACAAAAGAAGTGTTAGATTTTTGTATTAATAATGATAACAAAGTAGTGGAGTAATTGAATTGAAAACAATTGAATATGACGGTTGTCAAACATTGTGACATTCTATAACTTAAAAATTACAATTATGAAAGTGACATCTCTAGCAGCTGCTGGTAGCTATAAATGTACCTAGCTGAGTAAAGAAATAGATTTTCAGATGGCGCTACGCCAAAAAATCATTAAAAACCAAACAAAGATCTGCAACAACTCAGAGGTACTAGGTCGGATTAGAACTCACGACCTCTGTGTGAGAAGCGGTAGGTCAAACCATCAACGCGTTAGCGCACAATACCCGATTCATATTAATTCCGAATCCGAGACAAAACAAATCTAGAAAACTGGGACCCACTTCGGATGACGCTTGTGCACTAAGTCCGGCTCAAAACCCGAGAAAATATTAATATCGCTTGTAGACCTAGAGACAAAGTGATTCCTGTGACATTTCGGACCGCCTTTTCTCGGATTAGGAACTGATACGTTTCTGATGTAGCACGCAAACGCTCTTAGGCTTCCACGGTTCTGCTGCTGTTTTACAAGTAACCTAGATTAAGAAAATAAATAACAAAAAAGCTTATTAGCTTGTTGCTAGCAAAACATGCCTAAGCATGTGCCATTGTGTTAATAAAATACGTATAGTATAAAAATAAACAAGCTTTGATTTATCAAGAATCGGATCGCTGATACTTCGTTTACGGTACGGTAAATGTCCAAGGCAAGTCCAAGCTTCACCGGAACAGCAAGTCACGTCAAGGAAAGATTACAGCAAGGGCGACGTTACGAGAAACTTAATCCATATTGTTGCGTGCACTCGTCACACTGGACTTTTGTTTCATTATTCGAGAAAATATGAAATGTTTAGTTCATTGTTTAGTTCTTTCGCTATTGCTACACACATAATCTGTCAATTATAATTTCATAACCCATATCATAAAAGCGCTATTCGTATGTAGTTGTCTATCAAAATTGGTACTCCCTACTAAACAGGACTCGTACCATCGAATATTATAACCAGAAATAGACTAAATAAATTGGCAAATGGGCCTTATATCACTTTTAATATCAACTCTCGTTTGCGCTGAAATTACAAATTAGTAAGCTGAAATTGTATTCTATTTCTGGTTATGTACTCGACGACACAAATACCGAACTGTACTGTTCTGTACACAGAACGATAATGAGTTTAAAAAAAATAACGTCCAGTTTTAGCTAATTAAAATAGGGATATTATTATTTGATCCTCAGAGTCTGTAGGTCACCCTTAGTGGAAAACTGTCATAGCTACGGATTTAGTGTTTCGAGAGTAGGGCTCCAGACCCTGAAACAATTACTATCACATAAGTAATACTCGACCAAATGAAAACACGTATGATGCGAATCCTCTCCTCCACTCAGTCTTTTAAAGTTAAGGTAAAACAGTACTATCTAGAGCTCCAACTAAGCGGCTAGGTAAAAATAAATTTATTTCCACATAATTGAATCTAACTCCATACTCTAAATGAAGCAAGGATAATATTTAAATGTAACTTTCTGCATACTTTTCTATATGTTATAGCATAATAACGAAATATATATCAAATTTAAAACTAGTCACTCTTTCACTGTTAAATATTGATTTAGCAGTGGAGGAGTGATTTGGTTGTGGATTAGTAAATTAGTAGGTAACTAAATTTATAAAAAAGGTGTAGCTGCAGTGTTTCATATAGTCAATAATTAACTATGTAGCAATATCTTATGGTTAATAATTTTCCAATATTCTTAGTATAACAGGTAAATTTTTGTTTGCTTTTTTAAGTAATATCGTGCCATCTCATCCTTCAAAATGGTTCCAAATGAAAACCAGCGTTTCAGCAATTGAGCTGTGACATATGCTGAGTTTGGATCCATTTCAGCTCGTAACTGTAACTCTTTGTATACTGGCAATGTGTGATGCTGGCTGAATAAACGTTTCTTTCTTTCTTTCTTTCTTTCTATGTGAATGAAGCTTCATAAATGACATTGTTTTTTAATTTATTCGAGTATTACTTATTTGTAATTGTTTCGGATGTATGTCGGACGGAGAACGAGAATGCGGTTGT